CTTCGCCAGGCGGCGAAGGTGCACCAGCTTCTTCTCGGTGGAACGGTACTCACGGGAGTACTTTAGGCCACGCGCGTACGCAAGCTTCTTCAGAGCGACCTTTGCCGCCTTGTTGGCAGCAATCGCCTTCTTGAAGTTCTCCGTCTGCTGCTGCTTGAACGCAGCGCGCTTGATGGCAGACTCCGGGGCAGGGATAGTCTTCGCGGGCATGTTCGCTACCTTCTTTTCTTTAGTTAATTAATAGAAGTAAATACAAAAATGGGCACATAAACAATCGAGGGGTACCAAGTATTTGAGAGGTTCATTGACCTTAAAGAACGGGTACACTAGGGTATGCAGGCACCAAAAGGCTGCGGATCACAAGCTTACAAACAACAAGAGAAAAAAAGAAATATAGAAAAATTCAAGCAAAATTTGCACAAACGCCGTGTCAGCTTAAATCATGCGGGCGAGGAAACGGTTGATGAGGGTGTCACGGTTGCCGTAATCGCCACCCTCAATAAAGTGGCGACGCTTCTGGCGCATGCCACCGGTGGGCGGCGACAGCTTGAAGGGCCACATACCGTTTGTCACCGTGCGGAAGTGCTTGCCAGCGGTGTATATCTGGTTCACGATGTCCTCAGCGCAGACAATATCATCGTTGTTGTACTTGTCCTTGATCATCTTGTTATCGGCAATCTTCACGCGCTGACCGTTGAGCTTCAGGTGGCCACGCTTGTACACCATCGCGCGGACCGTGCGCAGGGAAGGGTACCCGTACGCAATGTAGGGCTCAATGGCACGGAGCATGTTTTCCATCGGTTTGTTCAGGCGCACAAAAACGGTGTTGAAGATCTGGCGCAGACGCAGAAGCTGAAGAATCTTGCGCTGCTTCGGAGCGACCTTCGCAATACCGCGGATGCGAGTGACCACAGCCACCTTCGGCTTCGCCTCAAGGTAGTAGTTTCCGCGGCTCTTCGCCAGGCGGCGAAGGTGCACCAGCTTCTTCTCGGTGGAACGGTACTCACGGGAGTACTTGAGGCCACGCGCGTACGCAAGCTTCTTCAGAGCGACCTTTGCCGCCTTGTTGGCAGCAATCGCCTTCTTGAAGTTCTCCGTCTGCTGCTGCTTGAACGCAGCGCGCTTGATGGCAGACTCCGGGGCAGGGATAGTCTTCGCGGGCATGTTCGCTACCTTCTTTTCTTTAGTTAATTAATAGAAGTAAATACAAAAATGGGCACATAAACAATCGAGGGGTACCAAGTATTTGAGAGGTTCATTGACCTTAAAGAACGGGTACACTAGGGTATGCAGGCACCAAAAGGCTGCGGATCACAAGCTTACAAACAACAAGAGAAAAAAAGAAATATAGAAAAATTCAAGCAAAATTTGCACAAACGC